TAAGTTAGTGGCTGGTTGTAACTTCTTGCAGCTACATTTAATTGAATCAAGAAGTTTTCCAGACTTTTGGCACAGCAGCCCCAGGCTGGCACATGCCTGGATGTTCCATTGGCTTCTCCTAACCCCCAAGAGACACCTCACAAATTCTCAGGAACAGGCACAATTCCCATAGCAGGAAAACTGAGTGTGGAATGCCAGGACAAAGGGGAATGGCTATAAATTGCCAGAGGGCAATGTTAGATGGGATATTGGGCAGGAATTCATCCCTGGGAGGGTGGTGAGACACTGGCACAGGTTGCCTAGAGAGGTTGTGGCTGCTCCATCCCTGGGAGTATTCCAGGCCAGGTTGGACAGGGCTTGGAGCAACCTGAGCTGGTGGGAGGTGTCTCTGCCCATGGCAGGAGAAGGGATGAGATCCTTAAGGTCCTCCCAACCCAAACCATTCCAGGATTCTATTGATCCATGCATCAGGAACTACTCACTGCTGAAAGCCTCCGGGTACTGCTTCGCCAGCTTCCCCTTGAGTGTCCTGGGGAGGAGAGAGAGAGAGCTGAGTCCATGGGAAGCTGATGGATACAGAGCTCCAGCATTTATGGATAACATAAAGGAATCCCAGGGGATTCCTGAAGGCTCCTTCCCACCCTCCCAAGCACTCCTGTCCCCCTCCCAGCACACAGTGTTTCTGAGTCCCACAGTCTGTGACCACCCTGAAGGAACACAGACCATCCTGGCTGCAGCAGAATGGAAGAATCCCAAAGCTCTTCTCCACTTCCTCCATGTGCTTTCCCCCTCCAACAAACCTGACTTCCAAGATCACCCCAAACTCCCTCCTCTTCCTCCATGTGCTTTCCCCCCTACAACAAACTTGACTTCCAAGATCACCCCAAACTCCCTCCTCTTCCTCCATGTGCTTTCCCCCTCCAACAAACTTGACTTCCAAGATCACCCCAAACTCCAACTTATGTCCTGCTTGAACACACCCCACCCAGCCCCTCCTGCACCACCTCCCAAACCCATTCCCATCTCATTTCCCACCGGATCCTCCGGAAGATGCTATCCAGATCCTTCTTCATTTCCACCAACGTCCTGGTGTGGTGGAGGAACCTCTCGTTCATCTGCTGCATGCGGACGCTCGACAGGTTGTTGAAGTTGAGCAGCATCTCATTGGTCTTCTCAAACCGATCCAACCTGCGCAGGGAGTGGGAAGGGGAAGCAGATGAAGCTCCACAACGATCCCACCGAGCTCCCGGTACCGGCACCAAGATCCCCACGGGACTTTTCCCCCGGGACTCACATGTTTTTCTGCGCCAGGATGATGGCGTTGACGTCCTCGGTGTTGACCATGCCCAGCACTCTCCCGCAGAAGACCTGCGAGGCCGTGGGCTCCATCGCGGCCTGCGGGGCCGCGGCGCGGGGCTCAGCCCGGG